GTCCATTTTTTGTTAATAATGGCTGGCATCCTACTGTCCTACGGGCTGTTTTTTCTGATACGGCTATGTCTGCTTTGGATGACCGTCTGGCTTCCATCCGTGATACCTGGATTAAAGTTCAATCTGCTCTGGGTACTGCTGCTGACCGTTTCAAGCATTATGCTGATACACGTCGAGATGCCAACCCTGTTTACCAAGTGGGTGAGAGGGTTTGGTTATCTTCTCGTAACATCAGGCTCAGAGTCCCTAGCATGAAATTTGCTCCTAGGTTCCTTGGACCTTTTTGTGTCCTTCGTAGGATCAATCCTGTTGTATAATCTCTGGCCCTTCCCGCCTCCTTGAAAATTCCTAATACCTTTCATGTGTCCTTGCCCAAACCTCTTGTTTGCAATAAATTTATTATAGAAAACAGAGAAAATAGGAAGCGGGAAAAAAAAGGAGGGGAATGCACTCTTATAGGGGTTAACCCTTACTGGACTACAGCAGTAGTAAGACAAAGGGAGAGAAAAGGTGAGTGCCCTCAAATTAAAATGTAACTTTTAATACTAAATAAGTTAAAACAGTTAGTACGATGTGTCCAAAATAATTAACAAAAATACAGTATTCATAAACTCATAATAATAGATGGAAGATAAAATGCTAGAGGAACAATTAATTTCCAGAAATAAATACCAGTAATTGATAAAGGAGGTCCTGTTCAAAAGTTTTCAGGACAAATCTCCAAATTATATGCAAAAAAACCAAACAGGTTTTCTTAAGCATTAAAGTGTGTACGTCAATATGGTTACATAAAAGGAAAGAAAAAGTCCATAAAGTAGAACTTGCTACTTAGAGTGGTGTAACAAGATGAGGTTCTAAAGATCTTGGGTAATGAAAAAGCCTAGATACATTAGTAGCTTTTATATAAAAATCATGATGTTAACCCCATGGAACCCCATTCATAGTGCTTGTTAGATCCAAAAAAAGGGCACTAAAGAGAATATAGTGATATAAAAAAAAAAAATATTCTTCACTATATAAATAACTCCTGCAGTGGGAATAGAGATCACTGCCAAATTTGATAAAGAATATGTGCTCAGTAGACCCCCCACTATATAGCTGGAGTAGGGCTGAATATCGATATATAACGTTCCCTTCTGATGAGCTGTGGGCGAAACGCGCGCGTCAGGGTAAGGGCTCTATCGATATACCCTCACTAACTATAGTATTGGCGTCTGTTTTGACGGTTATTAGACTCCATATTTTATATATCGATATTCAGCCCTACTCCAGCTATATAGTGGGGGGTCTACTGAGCACATATTCTTTATCAAATTTGGCAGTGATCTCTATTCCCACTGCAGGAGTTATTTATATAATGAGACAGCCACTAGAGGATTTGGAGGCTGATTAACCCATTTATAAACATAGCAGTTTCTCTGAAACTGCTATGTTTATAAAAAAAAAGGGGTTAATCCTAGAGGGACCTAGCACCCAGACCACTTCATTAAGTTGAAGTGGTCTGGGTGCCTAGAGTGGTCCTTTAATGAGCACCTTTCCCCCTTGTATCCTGTGTCACACTTCACAGTTGATTGAGTAATGTCAGGATGCTCTATTATAACAGCTGGCATAGGCGTGCGCATGGGGTGTGCCAAGTGTGCCTGGGCACACCCTAATCCCCGCGGCACGCCTATGGAGTGATACCGGCAGGGGAGATCTCAGGATCTCCCCTGTCGGCTCATGCAGAGCCGGCGCTATCCGAGTGCCGGCTCTGCTCTCAGCCTACCTCCCCACTGCAGCATTGAGGAAGGCAGGAGAGGACCCGGGGAGCTCAACCAGCAGATCCGCCGGGTTCCCGCTCAGATCTCGCGAGAGTGAACTCTTGCCCCACAGGGGCTAGAGTTCACTCTCCACTGGACCACCAGGGAAAGCAGCAGGAACAAGAATTCCCCCTCCCTACGTGAGGTAAGAAGGGAGAGGGGATATTAAGTAATGTACCCCCACCTCCACCCACACACAGCACCCTCGCACACACAGCACCCTCACAAGGACACACACAGCACCCTAACAAACACACACAAACACCCTCTCTCACACACACACACACACACACACATCACACTAACAGCACCCTCATGCAGCACACACACACACACACAGCAGTGTATGTATGTATGTGTGTATATATATATATATATATATATATATATATATATACACATACACACACACACACACACACACACACACACACACACGTGGCGTGTGTTTGTGCTTTAGGGTGCACACCCTAATGCAATAGGCTGCGCACGCCTATGACAGCTGGCCTTTGATCCTGATTTGTATCTTCTTGTTTCCCCCCCTGCACTCCATATCCTGTTAACACCTTGTCTTTAGGACTGTTGTAAAGTGTTTGTTTAATCAAGTAACATCTCTTGACCAGCTAATGCCAAAATGTGCTTTAAGTTCTTTGAATTTGCAATTGACAGGACATGGCTGTATTATGTGAAGACAATCCCTTTTTGGATGTGTATAGAATTTTGTTATAAGATCTGTGTTTCCCCATTAAAATTAGGTGTAGTATTTTGCCACACACTTGTGTGAACAAGTACTGCCCTCCGAGCTCGTATTTCTGCTGTGTCCATTCCTGGTCTTCATACCTGAGAGAAAACATTGCTGTCTGCTGAATTTAAACCACAACATACCCCAAACGAAAACATACATGCATTTAATTATGCATTTGTTCATTGGGGTTGTGATGGACATAACTTTGCACAGGGGTTTTGGGGGACGTA